AAAATCTATAGAGTATATATTTAAGTTTTTGATGATTGAACCTACACAGTACACGAAATTCATAGAGATAAAACTGTTCAATAAAAATAAAATATTCGAATTAAGATTAAAGCTTATAACCAGTACGAGTTACTTAATACTATGAAGTGATAAAGAAATAAATGTTCTATCTAATTACAGTAAACAACAAGTGTAATACCAGGGGAGCAAAAGAATGTATTGCGGCTGAAGGAAAATAGGCTCAAATTCTGATAAAGGGCAGAGTTGTTGATCAACGGGCTCGATTTCTTGTATCATCGAGATCCGTGTCAGAGGTCTGCGGCAATCCAAGCTATCTTCTGGGGCTGTCTAAGATAACTGAACTATAAAATGTGACATTTTCATAAGAAGAACATAGAGATCGTCAATAATGGGATCTCTAGTCGACATTGATAGCAATATACCACTATACGGCTCGCCATCGACAGGGAGTTCATCCTCATGTCCTACAGCCTCAATGGTCGCGTACTGCGCGGTTTCAGAGGTGTTTCCTCCCACGAATACTCAGGTTGTGGAATGAGCTCCCTGTCCAGGTTTTCCCAAGAGACTACAGCATGGAGCTCTTCAAAGGGGGGGTAAAGAGGTTTCTTCAGGGTCGGCAACGCACGCAGAATACATCTGGTATTGCAGGTGTTCATAGGCTACGGTAACCACTTACCATCGGGTGGGCCGTATGCTTGTTTGCCACCTCAGTGGTATAAAAAAAAACTCAGTTTCTTTTGGAAACCATCGTGATTAATTCTAAATAAATTCGTCGTGATTGCTGGATAGATCTGATAAAATTATCATCATTTCATCGTCTACTGGTATTCAATCATTATACACTATTAGCATAGGTGAGTGTACCACTCCATCTTCATCTTTATTTATAAAAAACGTCATATTTTTACACATATCACTAACCAGCACTAACCTAACCCAACCACAAGGCCAAGTCTTCAGGCATACTAATTAAATAGAAGACCAGTAGGTTCCAAGTAAATACGAGTATGTCTTGACGTTCATCCGTTGGAACGTTGTCCGCCCACGCCAGTGCGTGATTAGTTTTGCAAGTGTCCGCTGATCAATGAACTAATTACACAAGGTCCACTGAGAAATGGTTAACGAGATTTGATAAGGGTCAATAATGAACGGCAACATTCTTGGCCATGGTGACCATGTTTTGCAACGTTTGCATGATTTATGATGGCGAAGCGGTAATTTGAAATATTTTTTATGTAGGATTTTTTTTTTGTATTGTATAGTACAGAGTAATCATTAAAGGTTTTATATGGAAAAATAAAGTATTTAGATTTCTATTGTATACTTAAATGAAAAACTATAAAATTCTTTATGCGATTGTCTTCCGGTCTATACATATGAACACGATTATCTTAAGAATTCTTGCAAAAAACCAGATACATTTCATGGATGAGCAGTTTAAAAGAAAGATTATACATCTTTCTTTTAATACACTTAAATTTGCTTGTAATAAACGATGATAACGACAAAATTAATAATGTGAAATAAATATTAATTTTTTACATTATTGATATCATCGTAAATTCATAAACTATAAAGCTTTTTTATTCGATACCAGCTTTGTACTCGTTATTTCCTTTGTACGCGTGGATTTTAGAAGTAGAAGTAGTAAAAGAGAGCACTTCTACATGACGTAACAAAATCAAATAAGAACCAAATTTTAGGTTAGATATTCATAAACATAATAATAAAAATCATATCTTATTTCGTGCCGTAGTTTTTGCGTGATGTCAGATTAAACATACAGACAGATAGATAAAATTTCTAAAAATTATATTATGGTATATTTTAGGCATCTAGTAATTTTATTAAGGCCCTTCATATTATTTTTTCTTAAATATCTTACATGTACAGACATCGTGTAGTTACAATTTTATTATATAAATAAGATTATATATGACATCTAATAAGCTAAATAGAACGAAATACCAAATTTTATAGAACCAGTTAAATCCAAATCAGTTTCAAATCACCGAATAATAAAAATAGTTTAGTGCCGTACAAGTTTTACGATATACATCTCTCTAATAATTATGGTGTCTGTAATGGTCTCAAAGAGTTTAATTGCCGTATAGGTTATGCTCTTCATAAGATTAAGCCTCACGTAGTCACGGTGTTATACTATGAGAGATATATTCTCAAAGGTGTTATAAAAAGTTATGGCCCCAGATTAACAGACAAGTACAGAAAAACAGCGATAATTTTATGGTTATTGGATTAAAAACACGTTGCTAGGATAATATCAATGCCAAACACATGAATTTGTCCATGAATAAGTCCAATCCATGTCATTAAAGTCTTACGAGCATATAATATATATAATGCGTTGAAAAACTCAATTTTTATTTACAGAAAATAATGATAGATATTATACTAAAGAGATATCGTCTGTTAATTATTAGAGAATAATTAAAAACATAAAAAGACTTTATTTAAATTTAAATAAAGTCCGGTAAAAATAAAATTTTGATAGTTCTACTGAACTTTGCATATATCTAGATGGCGAAATATGAAAAATTTAATATTTGGAAATATAGAAACATGTCTTTTGTCTTATTGTACATAATTTGTTGTTAATATAGAGTAGTAAAAAAACTATGCGCACATTCGCTGGGTAGCATAAGAAAAGAATTTTAAAGACAAAACATGGCCTTGATTGCTACACTTAATTGATAAAATCGTATATTAACACAATTTATGGACATAAACGATAATTACGCAGTAAAATTTACTCTATAGGAGGTAATTAACTTTCTTTGCACGCAAGCTCGTTTGTAACTACCTTCTTCAACATAGGAATGAAAATGATAGTTGAAATTTGCAACTTGATGGTTAATTTAATAAAAGTGATAGTTATTATTTTACTGCCCGGCTATTTTTGATGATTTACGATGATTAAATATTTGAAATTTATTATATTCAGAATATAAAATATTTCATAAGGTTTACGTCAAAGGTAAATAAAAAAAGGCATTTATAAATAAAATGAATCACTAAAAAACTTTCACCAGCAGATTAATATTCATACTCAACAAGTGATACGTTGCCGTGAGTAGCAAGAAGTTTATGGATTACTCGGTCTTTCTATAAGACGGTATAGAAATCAAATAGTTACATAGGTACTATGTACTTTTACGTATCTTCTTAGTAATAGAGTTAAATTAAAAATATATATTTAGAAGTAGGTACTTTCAAGGTGTTTACGATTTTGATAAAAGTAATTTTTAGTATGTATGTATTTTAAGTAATGGCATAATTAAACGGAAATTAATTACTCATTAAGTAGGGATTTACACGTATGCCAAATACCATATAAGAAATTACTAGGTAGTGATTTTCAATTAAATATATACAATGTGATATTGTATCTTGCAATGTTAATGTCTTCCTAACAAGAAAGTAAATAAAAAAAAAACATACATAAATTTTGACATATTATTTTATGTTTAGGCTATATAGACCATGCTCTTTCCCTGTTAAATTTGGAGGAATTTTAAAACAAAAACATCAAAATATATTATTTTATTATGCCAAAACTGGCAGCAAAATTTTACGCGCGCGCGTGCATTGTCCAAATGGAAAGCGCAGGTAGTCACCATGCTAGTGGACAACTATTTCGCATTACGTGCGTCAACAGTGTGAATTTACTGAAGGCAGCTTTCTCGAATGTTTATATTTCACACGTTTTCAAACTATGTAAACGTATACCGTATGAAGCGAAGTGATATAATAAATAATTGCTGTGGGAACTATAGTGTTGTGAACTTACATACTCGTGAAAAAATAATTCTTGTAAAAATATTATTAGGTGGTGTATTTTAATTAAAATAAATATTTATAACATAAATATTTATAAGTAATTACTTAATAAAATATAAGTGTACATATTTTTTCGGTAGTTTTAATTCTTTAAAATATCTTGACCTGAATAGTACTAAATACAGGTCGTTGATGCTATTACAAAAGCATAAAATGTAATCACTATTCCAATGAGAGATTTTACAATAATTATTTTATTTTATATTTCTTTATAGACAAATCTCCACGCAGAGTAGTGTATCAAAAATGTTTAAGTAACAATATTTCATTTTGTGCAGACTTACAGATGCTGTTAAGAAAATGATAAATTACCATATTAATTATTACTATCGTGATCATATTTATTAATATTATATATAGTTAGTATTACTTCAATAGTCTCATTATAAAATTATTAAACTCTCAAACAAAAACATAAGTTAAAATAACAACCTTGCCCTAAAGACACAGTTATAACAAATATAACATACAAATTGAAAACGTAATTATTTTTAATAATGTTTAAACTCATTGCATCATCGAATATTTCAAGAAAATGTTAAGTAATATATAAATGAAGCCCGTGTTAATAAGTTAACTAATGGCAAGAAGAAATTACATGTAAAGATGTTACATAAATTCACAAATATTTTAGCAAGCGAATAGTCCAAAAATAATAAAAATAAATGAAAGGGTGAGTATCTATAAGGTAAATCAGTATACTCGTATTGGATCAAATATAAAAAAAATGCATTTATTGATTTACAAAGAATTATTCAAATAAAATTTTATGTCCATTTATACACGCTACTTTTTGCGGTGAGGGAAAGGTAGTTTATTTACTATATGCCATTCATTAACTAAATATATGCAATAAATATAAATAATTGGCTATGATTGCTCGATTTGTGAAGGGTTTCCATACGATATTGCATATATAAAAGGGCTAGAAATTGCCCATAATTTTATATGTTGTATAAAATCGATTTCAAGCCTATCATATTCTCGCAATACGGTAGCTAACATCTTAGCTATGTTTAAGGTTACGAAGTATCTATTAAGTAAAACTAGTGTTACTTAAATATTGTGTCACACACTTATTCGAGGTTCAGGCTACTTCTTATTTTATCGGTATAACTTACATAAGATTCCGGCAATGATGATGAGAGATCTGAAAAAAATAAAAAAATATATATAATTAAAACAAATAGAAGTACTGAATTAACATGTCATGATTAACATGTTAAAATTACTGCATAATAGCTGTTACCTACTCATGTATACATATATATGTGTCTTATACGTAATAATTACTAATAATATAAAGGCGAAAGTGACTTAGTCTGTTTCACTTTCACAACAAAACAGTTCTAGAAATTTCCATCAAAATTTGCATATGTATGGATTATACGCAGCGTGATAATGCTGAAAACAGTATTCTTTTTTTTTTCAATAAAAGAACAATAAGTAAACCTATTTGCAAATTTTAAGAAAACTAGAATACCAAAGTAATACTTTAAAAAATATTATTCAAATTTACTATTTCCCAATTATGTTACGAACTCGTGACATGACAAATTAACATATTTGTTACCGTATGACGTATACTAGTTATACTATTTTTTATATCATTTGCCGTCATACAAATGAAATGTATGAATATTCTCGTACTCGTAGTTAGTAATAACACAAAATTACATTATTATCATTGATAAAAAAAGATATATAAGGCTGTGTTTCGGTTTGAAGGGTGGAATATGGCGTGAATTTACTGGGTACACAGGAATAACACCTGAGTCCTCAGGAATGGCAGCGCATGGGGGGGTATCATGGGCGAAACAGTATTCTGTTATGTCCATGATACTGCTCATGTCTATAGACGACAGTTACCACTTTACATCAAGTGGGCCGTCAGCTTGTTTGCCATTCTAAGTTGTATAAAAAAAATTCTATTAATTATGTCATTGCAAAATTGTCTTATTTCTTATCACCAATCTTTTTCAATTAATCTTTACTCCCCTAAAAAATACACCCAAAATTTAAAACTCAATATTGAATTATCCATAAACGTTTATACAAATAGTATCATCGCACCCCTTAAGTATACTGACTGAATATCTTTATTTTTACATATATTGAGTAACTATTTATTGCATGGACTATAAGAAATGAAATAACCTATTTCTTACTAATATAATAAAATTGTAACTAGAGCGGTTTTGATATGACTAATAGATGCCAAAACAACCATTTTTAGAAAATTTGTCTGTCTGTAAATTTGTTTCGGGATCACTCAAAAACTACTGCTCTAAAATGAATTCGGATTTCACAATTATATTCCTGAAGTGTAATTTAAAATTTGATGGTTGATGTTGCATCCAGAAGTTGTTTATTTAATTGATTTTCCTACTTCTGAAATGTACGCATACGAAATAGTGAACTAAAAAAAGTTCTCTATATAGTCGTATCGTTGTACTAAACGTCAATTCCTATTTGTTTCACTAGATTTTTTATCTATTGTAAATACTGTTTGTTTAAAAAATAAATTACATTCATTACAAAATTATTATGGAGCCAATATCATAATATTATGTTGGTTATATACTGTTAGAGAATCTTAAATATCGGACGTAAATACCGCGTACTGAAAATGGAAAATTAAATACAGTACCTACAGTTTTGAACCTTTATCCATTTTATTATCGGAAAACAATGGATAATAGGTTACTAAAACCAACAATCATGGGAAAGGGGCACTGTAACCTCAAGCTTGAGTGGAAAAAAGTATGCTTCCACATGAAGTTGCGAGTCAAGCAGACTCATCCCACGGTGAAAGTCGAGCGCCTTTTACGTACACACTCGTAATGCTTGAGGCAATGGATACGCTCGATTAAATAAGCAACTTGAAAATCTTGGCATTAAAATACAATTCCTCATAGAATGCGGTACTTTAGATTTCATTTTCGTAACTTACTGCAATTAATTACAAAAACAAGTGAAATCACTGTAAGAATTATAATACATTACTGTTACGAATACACTGGTGCTCTTCATCCAACTTTAAAAATGCAATTTTCATTCTCAATTTGACTACATATATATATATATACTATTTATATGGAACAAAGTAACTAAATTTTGTTAAAATATTACAGAAACTCCAGATAAATGGTCACTAAAGAGAATACGTGAAAACAACTCCGACTCGATGGATTTATCAGTTTAGAGTTTAGATCTAGGGTTACCTTTCGCCTTTATCGTCAGATTAGCTTAATGGTACTACTATTTGTTACCGATTTTATATAAGTATGCCAAATTTCGACAAAATCGAATGCCAGCAAACGGTTAATAAATAAATTGCAAATTTTGAACGGAAATACTTACGTACTAAAGAAGTTAAATAAACAAAACAGAACAAAAAAACTCACATATAACTGCCTAATTATAAATAAGTACCCATCTTAGAGTGTGAACAAACTTTAAATTTTTGTCTGTACCTATTTGTGGAAACATCCAAATGTTCGTTTAGTAATGTTTGTTCACACAATCTAATCTAATTGTAAGGCTGTTGCCATTTAACCTAAATACTAAGTACTTATGTAAAATTAATCATTGTACTAAATAACTAATTGTTTTGATCAGCGTCTTTATCAACTCAATTCTTATTCTGACAATTTAATTTATAAGCAATACAATAAATCTAAATCACACTCAAAAATTCTGAACGTCTTTATTAAATCAAAATTAATGCCACACTACATTGTTTGATTAAAATAACAAAATAAATGTTATTTTAAATGAAAGTTATCTATTTAATAGAACAACGTAACTTACATCTATTTATCGTTGTTTCTTTTTTTCTTTTAATCGTGTACCCCAATACTTACGGAATCCGTAAAGATCTGATTATAATTTATTTATACGATGCGAAACGTTACGGATTGCAAGATATGGTAGGGTAAATTATATTAATATTAAACAAGAATTACCCAATTATAATATAAATATAATTGCGTAATTTTTGTTTAATAGTTTTTTATAAATATATATAATAATACCACTTTAATGACATATTTTGAAAAAGAGAGTTTCTTTTTCTCTTTAATTCTTTTTGACGTAATTATATGGAATGTAGCCCAGAGGTCTGGAGAGTCTTGTATGATTCTTTTTTAATTGTTAATGTTTACTTTTCGAATAGTCATGTGTTAACTTTGTTATAATTGACGTTACTTATTATTGTAAAAGTTATTATTTTATTATTATGATTTTGTAGGCCATTCGCTACGAGTGTAAACTTTTAAAATAAATTATATTTTTGTCGTTCCAATGGAAATAAGATAGCGAATCGCGTGGTTATGACGTGCGTTTGTAATCAAATTCCAGCAACACAGCAATATTTGCAAATTTATTTGAAATTGCTGCAATGTTAGAACACACATTAATTGGATACCGTTCATGTATCAAGGTCGACGACATTGGGAAATTTATGAACTTGTTTAGAAGTAATACGTACCCCGTGTACCGGTACATTGGGCAACTAAACACCCTAATTTTCGGTTTCCTACTGACGCTATTCTTAGTTTGTTAAGATATTTGAACATGAATTTGATATACAGATGGACCGTGCCATAAATTAACATATTTATGTATTTTTTTTTTAATTCACACTGGTAAAGCTTATTATTATATCAATTAGGGAATTATTATCCCACTAAATTAAATTTGTTTTTAGATCATAGAAAATTGGAGGCGAGACAGCGTCCATTTATTAATTAGTAAAGAATGTAAAAAGAAAACTGACAAGTGAATAAAAACTAGACTGATTTTTTTTTGTATCACTAAGGTGATAAACAAGCTTACAGACTACCTGAGCAGTTACCATAGCCTATGAACGCATGCTGTAATACCAGGGACATTACGCGCGCATTGCCTTCTTTAGCCTTTTTTTTAAGACCTCCATGTTGTAATCTCTAGGCTTTCGGAGAAATTTCGACTTTAAAATAGAACATACAATTTATAACCGCCATATTTATTTTAGACTTAATAACTGTTTACCTATCTCTACCTAGGTGAAATACGTTACTTTTATTCCCGTGGGAATCTAGAGAAATCCTTATATTAAATATCTACGTACCTAAAACCTTATATTTTAAATTCCATGGTTTTAATATCATTAGTTGCTATGCATTGATAGATCACCCAGTGAACTCGTTTCAATAAAATTTCAATTAATTGACATCTCGGGCCATCTATAAAGCATTTAATTTTTTTATAATGTATTTAATATTTGGAAATTTAAGGTCGACAGTAAACATACATATTGGTATTAACAAGAGCTACTTTCTTTCTTTAATCGAATATTAAATGCCAATGGAAAGTTATATTTAGGTTAATTTTACCACTCGAGGTATGCGCAATAATACCTTTTTGGTTATAACTTGTCTCATTTTCCTTTTAAAAGAGCGATGTAAAAATTTTAATGTGATTCAATGAATCTGTCTCTGAATTATTGATTACATATTTTAAGGGACTTCCAAAACTATGATGTTCTCAATTCGTTCATATTTTTTATACCTATGTTACGCGTCTGCCAATTTAGAATTTAATTTCGGCCGACTTTAAAAAGAGGAGATTTGTTTCAATTGTGTTGTATTTTTTTTATGTTTGATACCTCAGAACTCTATCATTTATAAACAGATTTAGAAAGTTAAAAAAATATATATTCCAAATTGTTTCTAAGGAAATTTTATAAATTTTGGTTCAGTGGTTGGGTTTTTAAATCAAAATAACAGATTATGCAAATACTTAACCAAATTTTTTTTAAACAAAATCTATTTTTGATATTTTTTGGGAATCGATAAGATTTAAAAAATGTGTTTTTTTTTAAATGGAATTGCTCTTAAAAAAATCATTTTTACAAAATTACCTACTATATAAGACGACTAGCAATCTAGCCCGGCATCGCAAGGGTAGTTAGAATTTTCAAAAACAATATATGGGCTTTGATCTTCACTGATAATACAGTTTTCTATAGGTGGAAATATTTTTAAATGTATTTAAGTAGTTTTAGAATTTATACATTACAAAGAAACAAACATTAAAATTTTTCCTTTTCATAATATTACTATAGATATAGATAATTACGTACTAAGAAAAGATGTAAAAACATAA